CAGGATGCAGCTGGATTGATCTACAGTCTTGGCAGTTTCAGTTGTGGTTTTGGGAAGAATTTTTGTCTCAGACACATTTCTGTGAGTTCTCTGTAGCTTAGAGCCTTTCCTGATATCTGCTAGCAAGGCACTGATGTCACCTGCTTCTGGTTTCACATCTCCTTTTCGAACTATGAAGAATGAGATTATACATGTTAAAACACTTTGGTGCAGTGGGCTTTGAACCCTCCAAAGAGAGCTACAGCTTAAGGCTTGTTTGTCAACTGCAGATGAATAAACCCCCTTATGCATAATACGGATACATTAGAAACTGATATAGAGGAAACTTGTAATTTCCATCAATTATCCAAAGTTTAAGGCCCTAACTTTGCAAAGATTTACTCAGAGCGTAAAAAACTAAACATGAACTTAATTCTTTATTAATTCTGTGGTGGTTCAAAGCCTAAAAATCCTGCAGGTACCTGCTAATAGGATGTCACTGAATCCATTGACTTTCTACTGTTTTCCTACAAAAACTAACAATCTATTTTAATAAAAGACCCAACACTACTGTGGTCCTAAAATGTCTTTGTTGTGTACACAGCATGGGAATTCTCAGAAAAGCTTGAGTAATTGAAGCACTCAACTCCAAACTTGTAAAAAATGGTGATATGTCACCAGCTTACCCAACCTTGTGCTTGGGAATTGCAACCAACAATGCCCATCATTCCTTTAAGTGTGGGCATTAATCAGTATACCATTTTCTTAGACAAGTGTCAAGAAAAATAATTTTATCTAATCTCCTCAACCCCCATTTAATTTAGACCTGTCCCAGAGAACGAAATTTATTCCCTTGCAGAGGGCTATTCCTAAACCTGTGTACCCCTGCACAGCCTCTTCAACTTGATTTTCCTGTTAGTGGAATATAAAAGGGGGTCATAGGCCTTGTGTTGTCTTTCTGCACGGTCACAAATTACTTCTTTAATTTTATTCACAATGCATTTAAATTATATTTTTGTATTTATAATAAACCATACGTTACCCGGGAATGACATGCCGGGAAATACAGCCTCCACACTGTGGATGCTGAGTGAGTGCAATACCAACTAGAAAAGCTAGACGTTTGTAAGTCAGCAGCGCCAGATGGACTCCATCCGAGTGTGCTGATGGAGCTGGCTGAGGTCATTACAGAACACCGGGCAAAGCTCTTTCAGAATTTGTGGTGCACGGGGGGGGAAATCCCTGAGGATTGGAAGAGGGCCAACATTGTGCCCATCTTCAAGAAGGGGAAGAGGGAGGACCCAGGCAACTATAGGTCAATCGGCTTAACCTCCATCCCAGGGAAAATCCTGGAAAAGCTCATTAAAGGATCAATGTGTGATACACTTGGGGAAGGGAAGATTCTGAATGACAGCCAGCATGGCTTTGTTGCGGGTAGGTCTTGTTTTACCAGTCTCATTTTCTCCTATGACCAGGTCTCTGGACACAGGAGACAAGGTAGACAGTATATACCTAGCCTTCCAAAAGGCTTTTGATCTAGTATCCCATGATATCCTTGTGGGGAAACTGGAAGATTGTGAGCTCAGCTGCTCGACAGTTCAGTGGGTGGGAAACTGGCTACAGGGTAGGACCCAGAGAGTTCTCATGAACGGATGTGTGTCTTCCTGGCGCAAAGTGGCCAGTGGTGTCCCTCTGGGGACTGTGCTTGGACCAATACTTTTCAACATCTTTATCAATGATTTAGATGAAGGAGTGAAAAGCTCGCTGGCCAAGTTCACAGACAACATCAAATTATGGGGCATTGTGGTCACACCAGAAAATAGGTTACAGATACACAGGCAGACCGGGACAGGCTCGAGAGTCAGGCAGACCAGAACCAAATGAAGTTTAACACTTCCACGTGTAAGGTGCTCCATCTGGGGGAAAACAACCTTCAACATACATACAGGCTTGGTGGTGACAGCTTGACTTGCACCACGGCCAAAGGGGACCTAAGGGTAATGATTGACAGTTGCATGAATATGATCCGTCAGTGCAAGGCAGTGGTCAGCAGGGCAAATAACACGCTGGCATGCATCAACCAATGCATCTCATGTAATACTAAGGAAGTGGTACTCCCACTGTACTCAGCACTGGTGAGGCCGCAGTTGGAGTACTGGCCACAGTTCTGGGCACCACACTTCAATGAGAATGTGGAAAACCTTGAGAGGGTCCAGAGAAGAGCCACCAGTATGATCAGGGACTTGCAAGGCAAGCCATATGAGGAAAGGCTGAGGGACCTGGGCCTCTTGAACCTAAAGAAGAGAAGGTTGAGATGGGGCTTGATAGCGGCTTACTGCTATATCAGATGAGTGCATCAGGAGCTTGGTGAACAACTGTTCACTAGGGCACCCCCAGGGAAGACCAGGGCCAATGGATACAAACTCCTGGAAGGCCGCTTCAGGCTTAATACCAGGAAAACCTCCTTTACAGTCAGGGTGTCCAGACTGTGAAATAAACTCCCTTCAGAGGTGGTGCAGTCACCTACCCTGGAGATTTTCAAGAGAAGACTGGACAGTCACCTTACTGGGGTCACCTAACTCCAGTTGTCTTCCTGCCTAGAGCGGGGCAGAGGGCTGGACCTGATGATCTGCAAGGTCCCTTCCAGCCCCTAACAATTTATGAATCTACCCTCACTTACTACATTTACTACAATAAATGCACCGGAACTGAAACAGAAACAACCTGCTTGTAGTTTTGTGACATGTTGGGTGCTTTGAAACCATTTTAAGGGTACCACTGGATACTAGAGGTGCACCAATACATCAGTTCCATATTGGATTGGCACTGATATAAGGAAAATTGACCGTATCAGCAATTGGCTTTTCTTGGCTGATGGCCAGGAGCACAGCCTGGCAGCATCTGACTGGTAAGTCTGTTGTGGGGGAAGGGATGGAGGGAGGGAAGAGGCGTGGAGGGGAGGGGCAGATCGAAGCCCTTGTGGTAAGGGAGGGAGTGGGGCAGGAGCGGGCGCTGCATAGCCAGGTCAGGGCATGGGACAGAGCGGCTCATCTGGGTACTAAGTTGGGTAGGCCTAAGTCTCTATGAGCCCTAAGTCCCAGTGAGGGGCCTGGGCTGGGCTGTGCTTGGGGCAGGTGGCAGTGCTGCTGAGAGGGGAATTATGGTGGGGCTTCAGCCACCCTAAAATTCACCATAGCCCCCACTGCCAGTGCTGCCGCTGCCTGCACCAAGTGCAGCCTGGCCCAGCCCCCCTGCTGGGAAGAGCCCAGTGCAGCTGCAGCCCCAGCATGCACATCTGCCCTTGCCCAGGGGCAGCCTGCCCTTAGCCAGCATGCAGATCTGGGGGCACACACACTCATGCCCTCCTGGGATGCGCGCAGCAGCGGTAGCCACACACCCCTGTGGCCCTCGAACGAGTCGCTTGCAGCTCCATCCCCTGTCCCTCCCCAGCTGTGCAGCACCTGCCCCTGGCCCAGCCCCTGCCCCACTCCCTCCCTCACTATGGTGCCTCAATCTGCCCCCCACAACCCCTTCCCTCCCCCTGTGCCTTTACCCACAACAGACCCACCAGCCACATGCTACTCTCCAAGCTGTCAGGCCGCATATTGGCAATCGGATTGGTATTGGCCAACATGGCTCCTTAAAAATCAACCATTGATACTGGCCCAAAAAATCTCTATCGGTGCACCCCTACTGGATACCATACAATTATTAGCACTGTTAGGTATGCAAACACCTACACGATTCACAATATAAACCCAAATAAGCAGCAGTGTCAAAAACATTTTGACTTGTGGTCTTTCTGAGATCTTTGCAATAGAATAATTGCTCCATTATTTTTTCTTAGTCAAAAGCAGGTGACTTTAGTTTTGGATTGGGATGTTGTTATATTCAGGAGAGTTATGGAGAGGTACCTTGAGTCTAAAAATGTTGTGAACCCCTGACTTAGGTGCATGATTAACTGTAAGCATACAAGTCATTCACAGAGCCTATTCAGCAAAGCCAAGCCAAGCCAAGCAAAGCAAAGCATTACACATTTAAATGCTTTACTGAACCAGAACTTTGATCAGAAAAAGCAAAATATTAGGAACAGGAAAGGAGAGTAAAATGGTATTTGTCCAGCCATATCACAACAAAGCAATAGAGTTTGATTTCAAATTCAAGTGAGACATCTAATAAAAATATTCCAAGAAATTCAGAAAAATGCAAAGAAATAAACTACCTCCAAGCTGGAGGGAAAAGCTAAATTCAATACTTTTATTCACTTGGAATGACTTTTTTTCTATTCTACCCTGACTGTTTTAGGCGATGATGAAGTTTTGAAGCACATTTTATCCCTCCTATGGAGAGTGCTTCTAAATGAGCATCTTTCTAATACTCAGTTCTTCCATCTAGGATAGAATAAGCATGCCAAGAACCAAAAGAAAATTAAACTAATGCCTTTTCACTCTCCCAAATACCAGACCATCCATATCTATAGATTCTTCCTAGCAAAAGATGGCAAATGAATGGAAAACTTTTATGGGAACTTACTGATAATTCCACATTCCCCCTTTTGTCGCTTAGCTTCTTCTTCTGCAAGAAGTTTCTTCCTTTTCTCTGCCTTTGCAGCTTGTTCCTTCCTTTCCTGGTTTTCCTGCATTCAAATATTCAGATACAAGGTTACACAGAACATCCATGAGAAAAATTTACTGGTCAAAATATTTGCAGTTTGTAATTGAAAACTATTTTTAAAATGTCCATAATCTGATACACACTGCTGGGCTTCAGTTGTTTAGACTTTGGGCTTTCAGGCGAGTGGCATAGTGAAGTCTCTTCTGGACAAACTCTAACCTTGTCTACATGGCGATATAGTGACTTAGTTCATTAACTCTAAAAGCAATGACAATGCAGTGGACGGAAACGGACCCACAGCCGCTTGTTATGGCACTATCCTACTTAATAATAATGAATCCACACTGCTTTTTGTCATTTCAAACTAATCGCTTAGCAATCTGGGCAGATATTCCATGCTACATTGTTCTGCCACTCTGCTCTGATTTTTCATGATGTGAATATGGCGATTCATACCAGAACCATAGGAAATCCAGGACTGGAAGAGGGGTCAAAGTCCCACGGTTCTTCTTTTAGCATTCAATGCTGGTTTTGAACTGGTAGGAAGCAGTCAGAAGCAGGGAGCCAGTGCCAAGCACTGTGATGATGACTGTCATTAATACGAACTATGTGACATGCAGACACTTGAAATGCTGGTGGATATATCAGTTTGGCTCTGTGTTCACAGGGCTTTTGATGCCTGGCAATAAAGCTAATGGAAGAGAAGGAAACCAAGAGGTTACCTTTGTAGATTACCTACCTGAAGCAGCACTTCTGGGCAAGATGGTAGTAGCAGAACAAAGGCCAGTTTCCCAGAAATCTGCACAGAGCTCCCGCCAACACCCTCCAAAGCTGGAGAGGCAGACTACTATTATGAGAATTCCCCTCCATGAGAAACACATTACCATAATCTTGAAGCTCATGTTTCCAGTTAATAGATAACCAGTTTGGTGGTAATGCTGGTAGATCAGCTCTCGGGACAGTTGCTACAGAGATTTGCAGCACTATAAGGACAGTGCTGCTGTATAGTATCAACACTTAACAGTGCACAGGGTGTTAGGGATGGTTTTGAATAGAAAAGTTCTTGAACTGGACAGGAGCTATTGTTGGTGCACATGTTCTTTACTTCCTAGGCCAAAGTATTAATCAACAGGAGAGGAAATTTTTCCATGGTAGTGCATAGCCTTTTGATCACTGTGAAAGATTCACCATTATTAAGTGGTCTGAAAAAGTTTATGATGAAAGAACTTCTAGAAATTCACACCTGTTAGCTAGAATAAGGAAAATTTTGCTTCTCAGAAAATGTTGTACTATAATGAAATTAATTTCTTCCTCTCGTTCTGGGAGATGCAGCGAACTGTTTACACCCACATCTTGCAACACTTTTCACTGGATTCTTGGACAAAAGAAAGAGGTGGCTTAATTTTATTCAGAGTAGCTAAAGAAAGTCAATAGAGCTTGCTTCCAATGCTTTTTGGAAAAAAGGAAAGGTGGATGGCACAGTCTTATGGAAAGGCTGCATGTTTCTCATTATTATAGACCTGCTTCTTTCTATACAACATGTGATACCAAGAGAGAAATTATGAAGGGTGGATAGAAACAGGAAGCAAAAATTATTCTTTCAAAGTTTGACAGCCAGAGAGCACATCCCGGAAAAACAGCCTAAAAGGTAAAAAACCCGGATCAGCAATCCATTATTTTCCTAGTTTGAGGCCCAGTTGTAGCTGAATAATGCCGCATAATGAGTTTAGTGTGCTTTTATAAACAAGTAAAATGGAAGCAGTTGGTGTTATGCTATTTATGAGTTGGGCCATATCTAAACTGAGATTTTCTGACACGTTGTCCAAAAACACAGTTAATAATTTAACAAATGATACACGGTTAATGTTTCTTCAATAAAAATACAAAACAACTAAACAACAAACAGACTGAAAAGTTAAGGACAAAGCTTAGGGAGGCATAGATAGCAAAGAGTATTCACAGCACCTGAAGGTGATGCGGTCAGCAGTATTCTCCTTCTCCATTTCCTCTGGATTTGAATACAGTAGGAAGGAGAATCAGTGGGATGGAGTATTACTTTCAGTAATCAAAGTAACAGAAATGGTGGGTCCGCCAATAGGGCATGTTCTCCACATTTCTTCAAAGCCTTGGAGCATTTGAGTGTGTGGTTTGACCTTTGTATCAAACAGTATTTCATCACAGCTGTTTGCTTCTGCAGACACTCCCTCTCCAATGCTGTATACTCCAGTTCAATCTTTGAGACTGCTTCAAGAAGCTGTCCTGCCAGCAGTATGCCTTCACAGTCTACTGATGTGATGAATAGGTTGTGGATCAGATCCCCTTCTTACCCCTCCCAAGTCTTTCAGCAACCCTTCTTTTAATGATAACTCACTTCTTTACTTAGCTTGAGGTGCCAAGGGAAATCAGAAAAGGTCCAGTTACTGATTTTCCCCAGCCTCATATTTTATCACTGGTGGAGTGGAGACTTTCTTTTCTTGTAAATTTAGAATGCCATTCCCAGCATCTCAGCAATTCCTTTTGGGGTAGCTATGTTTTCAGTTTACTTCCTTGTACTACATATCAACAGATGGATATAGAAGATATGTGGTGTTGTTGCTATGAACCAGGATGTTCTCTGCTCACCACGACCTGTACTGGAGATGGTAGTGCAGGTAGTGCAGAAGGGGAATGCTAACGATTGGGGCAATAGCCAGGAGTTGCTTTGCCGTGTAATTTCTGGACCAAAATAGTTCACGCTCTCTGCCTTATAGTTCCCCGTTACTGCATCAGCTCATAAAATACACTGAAAGATTAACAGAATTCTTCAGGAACTGTTATATGCATTATATGTCTTCAGATACCTCTGCACTTCAAAATGTCCCTGTAGCTTGATTTGGGGCATTTATCTTCTGAACGCCAAAGCTGTGTAAAAGTGGAGTGCACTGATGGAACTGAGGCAGTGTATCTTTTCTAATTATTTTGATAAACCTTCCTATGGCTTAGGCTATGATAAATATGATTTTAAAATATGTAAATCATTTCATTTTTGTAATTCCTATGTTCCTGGTGTGGGAGGGATGGAAGAGACTGGAAGGAGGCCGAGTAAGCAATTTAGAAAGGCGGTAACAATGTAGCCACTGTATATGCACTGCCATGCTAGATTAAAAAAAAAAAAAAGCTTTAATATGTTGACATTTCTAGTATCTCTGGGGATATCTGCAGTGGGTGAAGGGGGAAGGGACAGCAAGCAAAAAGCAGTTTTGCAATAGAAAATGCATATTTGTAGAAAGCATGGCTGATAGCTGCAATATTTATGGTGTTAAATGCT